CAGGGGAGATGCACGGGTGGGGAACACGGAGCTGTTGGGGTGTGGGAATTGCGCCGCTTTGGGATTTTGCAGGATTTTGTATGATCGCGCATGCACGAGCGGGGCAAATGCAGGCTTGTGCGTGGTTTCCATCACATCACCTCACGGTGAAAACACGGGGGAAGCCCTGTGCCGTGCAAAGCATTGCAAAGTGCAAAGCCTTGTGCTGTGCAAAGAATTACGAAGTGCAAAGCCTTGTGCTGTGCAAAGCCCTGCAATGTGTAAAGCTTTGCAATGTGCAAAGCCCTGCAGCACGCAAAGCCCTGCAATGCCCCGCAGCGTGCAAAGCCCCGCGCCGTGCGAACGCGCAGGGAAGCTCCTGCTTCCCCGGGAGCACCGAACCCCAGCGGCGCAAAGAGCCACGAGGCGACTTGAGGTGCCCAAGCGTGCGCTTGCCAGCCAGAGTGTGCGGGGAGGGATGCAGAAGGCACCGGGGGCTCACCCGAACGCGCTCTTCACCGGCGAGAAGTCCGTATCGGAGCGGACGTGCTTGGAGAAGCCGCCGGGGGAGTCGGTGACGCCCCCCGAGGACACGCGAGCCCGCTTGACGCCTGCAAAGGGACAAGACACCCAATAACCCCCCCAAATCTGGGGGGACGAACGCGTTCCCCAGCGGCCCCTTACCCTTTTTGAGGGGTTTGCTGTACCACCGGTCCTTCTTGATGTCAGGGATGGTGATCCTCGCCGTCGGGCTCTCCGTCAGGATCTTGTGCAGCAAAGCTGGGGGAGACGGGGAGGGAAATGGCAACCGCCGGCGCGGCATCGGGCGCCGCCGGGTGCCAGTCGCTTACCTAAGGGCGCCGAGTCGATCTTTTTCCAAGGCGGGAGGTAGGTTTTCCTCTCCTTCCAGTCGCTGTATTCCTGGCAGCTATCGCTGGGCTGGTCCCAGGGCAGCTCTGCCGGAGGAGAAAACTCGCTGCGTTATTGCACCGGCGCAGAGGGAAGATGGCAAAGGGGGAAATGCAGCCAGGGGGGCAGCGCAGCACGATTTGCACAGGGATTTTTTGCAAGGGGAGGGTAATAAAGACCAGTTCTGCCTGATTTTAAAGGGGGGGTGACGTGCAAAGGTGCGGTGTGAGAAGGCGTTGCAATGTGCAAAAGCCCTGAGGCGTGCAAAGGTCTGCGATGTGTGAAGCCCTGCAGTGTGCAAACACCCTGCAACGTGCAAACACCCTGTGGTGTTCAAAGCCCTGAGGCGTGCAAAGACCCTGCAACGTGCAAAGCCCTGCAACGTGCAAACACCCTGCAACGTGCACAAGCACACGGCAGCACCGACCACGACACCGCGGTGATTTTCTGTGCCAGGCATCTCTGCTCTGAACCAGGCACTGCGCCTCGTGCATCCCCTCCCCATGCATTCCATACCTCCCCTATGCATCCCATACATCCCCCTTTGCATCTCATGCACACGCACCTCGTACGGCCCCCCACGCACCTTGTAAGGCCCCTTCCCCATCTCATGAGTCCCTCCGTGCACTCCACGGGCCTC